CACGACCCTCCTCCTCCTGTTGGTGCGAGCGAGCGGTCAGTCACGTGTGTGTATGACGGTCGAATTTAAGGAGCTGCCCCTGGAATTTACGCGATCGGCAACCGGTCGTTTTTTTTGTTTACAGCGGTAACCAAGGAAACGCCGTATGTGGTGTTCCAGAACATAGAAATAATAAATAGGTATTATGTCTATGTTCCAGAAGGCCTCCTGCTGTCAGAGAGTGAATCTGCATCTCATTCAGAGCTGCTGCTGTTTGTTTCGTTCAGGCATGTAGTATAATTTCACAAAGCTAGTCAGAACATTCTGTTTTTGCTTCAAATTGGGTTATTATTAAATCAAATGATGTATATGAAATTATATAACTAAATGATATGAAATTATATAAATGATATGTATATGAATTATATAACTAAAATTAAATAACTGTAATAACAGGTTTAGGCTAAATAAAGATGTCAGTCTTTATTTTTCTTCTTTTTAGGAAACAAATCAAAGAAAAATAAACAAATTCTACTGTTCCTAATATTCTGTATGTTGCTCAAAACAAAATATATCGTGTTCAGCGCAAAAAAGTTTTTTTATTTTTACCCAATCATTTAAAAATAACACATTTTAGAGCTGTAATGACAATACCGTGATATTTGTAACCGTGATATTGTTGCTTAAGGTTATCATACCGTCAAAATCTCATACCGGCCCATGCCTACTTGAGTCCTACTTAAGTGGGTCAAAAGTTCAGTGCAGACTGAATTAAATATAAATTTAAATTATAGGCCTACTACCATTGTCATGTAATTGCAATTAACAAGGATTTAAGTGTCTGAGAACTTTACATTCTAGTAGCACTTCAGAAAAGTCATTGTCAAGACTCATTGTCAATAAAAATCTAAAAAAAATAAAATAAAAAAAAAAGTCTAAGATGTGCTATCAACGTTATACAAATATAAACGTTATATTCGCTGCATCCGAAATTGCATACTTCCCCACTATATAGTAAGTGAAAAAAGTATGTGAAAAGAGTAGTATGTCCAAATTCACAGTAGGCAAAAAGCATGTGGATGACTTACTTCTTTCAGCAAGATTCTTAAAGTGTTATGCATACTTTGCTATGCCATGAAGCCTTGGGAGAGGATTTGTGAATGGCTGTAAAGTGAGGCATCTGATGCTGGAAGGTCACATGACAATGACAACATAACAAATGTAGTAGGGTAGAGTGGGGGAAAACGCTCTCTTTATGGACTGTGTATTTTTTTTTTTCTGTGAAACTAAAGTTAAATGTGTTAAGAAACGTTTTCACAGTTTTAATGACAATTACATAAATTATAAACCAAGTATGAAAAATGTCCAGAGTTTTCATGTTATTAGATTTTTAACAAAAATGTCATTTGTACCGAGGGGGCATTTCCCACTGGTGGGGTAAAATGCCCCCCAGTCTGACAAAGCAATTCGCTTTATACATTTACAGCAAAATCAGAGTACAGGCAGTTTCAGCTTAAAAGTAAAAAGAATATAATAAATAATTATGAATTACAAAATTATAATAGCCTATTTGAAACATTTGTTAGCTGATGCTAACTGGCTAGCTAACTAGCTACCTGATGCTAACTTGAGGTAATTTTTAAATACAAAGTCCAAATATTTTTATTCACCCAACTAGTTAGAATACATTTGATGGAAAAACAAAGGATTTGACGTTCAGAACAGAGTAACTACAGTAATTAAGCTATGCCCTCTGGGTGCATTTTACCCCACAGACTAGGTTTGAAAAAAAAAGTGTCATTCTGAAAATATAATTATATTTTTTCTTAAATAACACATTTATCTTGACTTTATCTTGTGGTTATTTTGGGAAAAACGGGGGGGGGGTCCCCCGGGGTTCCCCGGGTTCCCCCACTCTACCCTCTACCCTACATCCAGATTACATTCATATAACACACATTCATACTACATAGAACACACTTTTTTTGAACAGTCATGGTCAGGGTCCTTGGCCAAGGGTGGGGTTAAATAATAATCACACACTGCAAAATGGCTCCATATGCAATGCAAAATTACAGGCCTAAAAATTGCTATGTAGGTAATACTCAAGCTCCAATCTGTGTAGTTAGCCAGCTAAAAACTGTTATTTTTATTTCAATAATTACTAGGGGCAGAGTCATATAAAGCACTTACATTTTACTTTTAATGTGAGAGGGACAATATAACATTTAACTTCTTCGAAAGCTTTGATTAATACTGTATTTTACCATATCTCGCATCAAACAATAACTGCAATACTATTGTAGACCATTAAGAAGATGCCTAAATTTGCTTATTACCCACCCCGGTTTGTCATCAACAGCTTTCACTGCTAGCTGGAATGACATTTTGCCACGCCCCCTACCTTTCAACCTGCCCACTACGACCTGCAGAGATCCCTGTCCCCGGCTCAGGGAAATGTATGATTCACACAACACCGCAGGAGTCAGGGGGGCTGTTTGGCCCTGATAAGGCATGATTTAGACTATACAATGGTGACCCCGCTGAAGACAGAGAGAGAATTATTGTGCTTGGGAAAACCGAGCTGAGTTAATCTCTTTGAATTTTATTCCCCTTCCTGCATGCATTCGTGTCTTCACAGTGCCATCCAAAAAGAAACCATTTGTAATAATTTCTCTATTTCTCGTAATTGCGCTGCTCCCGGTATCCAGGGAGACAGAAATTAACTGTGAAATGGATTAGTCAGTGTGCTTCGGTTGTTCAAGTCAGTTGGATTGAGGGCATTTCTTTCTGTCTGTGTCTGATTACGTTTGAAAGGAATGAGCTTTATTGCCCCCACACAGGTAGTTCCCTTCCGTAAAGACGTTGCATTTATGGCCGGAGGAAAGGCAGGGTTTGGCAGTTGTCCATGGATGGAAGAGTACCTCTTGTGTTAAGAACCTGAGAGAGAGAATGAGAGGCAGCATTGGCAGGGTTTGCTCGGTTAGGCTTCCCCCCTGCATCCATCAATCTCCCTCAGCTCACAGACGCTCGGCGGGATTAGATTCCTGGGGCAGAAAGGGCCAGCACTGAAATATGGCCGCAGCCACGCCAGTGATTAACAGCGGCTCTGAATATGGATGCCGTTCATATTGGCTTAGCATGCTGGGGTAGCCCATTAGTGCTCAAGCGTGTACAACGCCCCACTCTGACATGGCTCCAAGTGTCAAACTCGCTGCAATGCTAAATGCCGTTTCTCATGCTTGAATGGCATCTCTTGCTGTGCCAAAGTGTATTTACTGTTCAAATTTTCTCACAGCCTAAACACTCTAAACTAGAGGTTGGAGTTAGGAACAGGTCATGAAGGTCATAGTTGGCTGTAGAATGAGGTTGACAACTTTATCTGGGTTTTTTCATATTTTATTGATATTGCATGTTGTGCTTTAACCGTTAGGCAGCTTGCATTGTAAAACCTTCTTGTAAAAGCTGCATCTTAAAATTCATCTCCAATAAAACATTACTACTACAGCCAAACATTTTCAGGCAAGCATATTTTTTCTTAAAGTTTTTGATTTAGTCATTAAGTAAATTAATGAATACGACACACAAAAATACAATTTAAATAAAGTATTCATCAAAAATACAATAGTCTTTTGATGAAAATATCCTTTAAATTGAGTCGAAAACAGTCAGTTTAATCACAAATCCCAATATTTAACCAAATATTTAAAAATGGTATTAATTTAAGCTTGTATAAATATTTATCATGTGAAATCATGTGAAAACTGTCCTTGTTGTGATAACTCTATCTGTCTGAAATAACATTATAATGAGAACACTATAATAATACATGCATTGTAGAATGATATTAGTAATAGTAAATACATGCTTAAGGTATTCATTGTCTGTATTAGGGAAAGTTACTTTTTAAAGTAATGCATTACAATATTATGTTACTCCCTAAAAAGTAACTAATTACATTACTTAGTTACCTTTAATGTGTTATGTTACTTTTGCGTTACTTTTTCAATCTGGGCTGGGCTTGCTTGTTTGTTTTTAATATAAAAAATATATATTTTTGGCAAATGTAAAAGCCCTTTCACACCAAAAGTGAAATGAATAAGCCCCAGGCTGAAGGAAATGTAAATTCACACCTGAACAGTAGCAAATGTTACAATGTTACAAACACAAATGTTATGTTTATCTAAAGTCATTTTTGCTTATTAGTATGGTTGAACTGGATCATTGAAGTTCAGAAGCAAACACATTGTTTAATAAAATTGGACTAAACATCCTACATAAAGGTTGTAACAAAGTTCGTAGTTCGGGAAGAAGGAGGCGGGAACCGGCGAACATTTAAACACTTTAAAGGTACCATAGAATGCATTGATACAATATTTTAAATAAACGTATAGGACTTTTCAGTTTTTTTCCGGGACATTTCCTTCGAAAATGAAATTTAACCACCGTGTCCTCAGCGGTCTATGGAGACTCCTATGTTCATTGGTGCATCCCAACACACAACACTTTTAATGGCTCTTTGGCGCTGACATTGTATCTCCAGCAGCTACAGCAAGAAAACGGTAATGGCGGACCGCTGCTTCTCACTCAGGGCGGGGTCTATGCTAGTAGGGCAGAGAGTGTCACAAATGGGTGGGATTTTCCCGAGTATGACGTCATTATAGGGAGAAATCTGGAACTGCTCGTTTGGAGAGGCTGTTTATGATTTATTGGGATTATAAAACAATGAGTGGGTGGATTTTTACCATTACAGGCTGGTTGTTTTCACACACTCCGGCCACACAACTGTGTTCAAACACCTTATAAAAGTGATTTTTGCATTCTATGGCACCTTTAATCAAATAAACCAACACAAACCAGGCCTGGTCCTCTCTCGTCTTGCACTGTCGTCACTCCTCCTTTTATCCTTCCGGAGCTCCTCCGTGGTATTCGAGACCGGTGAGTGGCACAGGTGTCGTGCATTATCACTTATGCCCGGTTCAGACTACATGATTTTAGTCCGATTTTGCCACGATTTGCTTGATGTTTTCGGAA